TCGCATACCTTTCCTGTGGATCCGACGCCTACCTACAGGTGAAGGGAAAGGAGTTCTACTATAACGGACAGAAGGTGTTCCTATCGGGTGCTAACGTGGCCTGGAATGAGATCGGAAAGGATTGGGGAAATGGACAGTATTGGAAACACAGGTCTAAAATGAATGAGTGGTTGTCCGGTATCAACACTCATGGAGGAAATGTAGCCCGAGTTTGGCTCCACTGCGGAGGAGACATATCCCCACAGTTTGACTCAGTCCCCATACAGCACCCTTGGCTAGTCGTCTTGCTACAGCAGTTTCTTGAAGTCCGGGAATACCTGCTGCGCCTCTTTGTGTTGCAAAAGTAGTAAAATACGTACAAAACGTCAGTCATAAGTTAAGTATTTTATTAATTATATCCGAAATTCTTGTAATAATTTGTTAATTGTTTGAAAACTGAAGACTCGATTTTGAAGAAAGACGACGGCTTTATAACCGATGAGAAAAAGATTGAGTCATATCTTGACAAAGCACTCAAACCTATGGTCGAGGGGTTGAAAGGTATTTGGATATTGAAGTTATATGAACTACTAATTAGTATATTCATTGTCCGATGGGCACCGGTAGGTAAGAAAGCATTGGCCGCCTGGGAGATAGAGAATGAACCCGAGGGGGCAATGGATATCTGGACCAAAGAGTCGGACCCCAACACTTGTTTCGACATTTATCGGTGGCAGAAGAGTAACAAAGGCATGGGATATGAGTCCAAGTTTCCCATTAAAAAGTATTATAATTTAACTATACTTTCAACAATTCAATACTATATTTAATTTAATACAATATCAAAGAATTCTTCGACTCTTCAATTGGATATCGTCTGCCATTCATACCGCGGATCCGTTAGCACTGGTATCGGTCGGCACCTGGAATCCCAAGACTAACACTCATGAGTGCTCCGATTGTTTCAACTTATATCAGGACCAGTGTTTGGTGGCCGCGGGAGGCAAAGCCAATGGTGTTATGGATTTCTATCAAATCCATTCATATGAGTGCGGACAGGAACACCCTATCAAGAGGTCGGCCCAACAGTACGGTCTCGACAAACCCCTAATGGTCGGCGAGTTCTCCACTAAGAGGTCGTGTGTCTCAGACTCGGCTGAAGTATACAAACACTACTACTTCAGTGGTTATAACGGATGTATGGCGTGGCTATACACTGATCACGAGGAT